ATATATTGAAGACCTTACCTCCCATGTTATTGTATTTGGAGATGAGGTCTTTAAAGAGGTAATTAAGGTTGATGATGCCATAAGTATGGGGCCCTCATTCAATGGGTCTGGTGATCTTATAAGAAGAAAAAGAGACAACCAAGGCCATGTCCACACAGAGAAGAAAGCCCACGTGAGGACAAAACAATAAGTTAGTCTTCTGGAAGCCAAGGAAAGAGGCTTTTGAAGAAGAAACCAAATCTGCCAACACCTGATCTTGGACTTGCAGCCTTGTGAACTGTGCGAAAATGAATTTCTGTTGGCTGAGCCACCCAGCTCTTATATTTTACCACTGCAGCCCCAGGTGACAGATATCTGGGGGCTGTAGTGTCCCATCTTTCTGTTTGTCACCTCTGCTCCCAGGGTGGCTGCTATCTCCCGGGAAGCACAGCAGATGGCAGTGGCGTTCTGTGAGTCCGCACAGCCAGCCGCCTTGCAGGCTGTGGCTCTGGCTCTGGCTTAGCTAATGAAAGGCTAAGAGATGTACACTTCAAGGTCCAGGCTTTTTCATAGGAAAAATCAATAACTTTGCATTCAAATGTCCATATAAATATTCATCAAACTGGGCTCTAGAAAAGCAAACGAGATACTGTTTAAAAGGGGGAATAAGAAAAACATAATTCTCAGCATTTGATGTGCCTGCAGTCTTACTCCTTCTAGTTCAATGAGGGTTGGTTGCTGTTTCATGCATCTAAGTTCGAGTCCGAACCCTCTCCATTACCCCCAGAGGTCTCTGTCTCTGAGGCTCCCTCGTCACACTTGCTGCTGAGGTCTGAGGTGTCAAAACTGAGACTATGGCTGGCCAGCCTCATATTGACACCAAGAACACTGTCATCTTCCAGTTGCCATACTTGGGCTGTTACCTCACTCAGCACAGTCACAGAACCCAAACTGCTCTCTTCATAACGGGGCTCAGCGGAGTGGAAACTTAACCAACTAGGCAGGCAGGTAGCACCTCCTCCTGCACGGCACTCCTATCTGGATGCTTCCTTACAAATCCACAGCAGGCAAGAGCAGACACAGAGACCCTGCCCTTCCCTGATGACTCAGACATTAAACTGTCCCATTCATCAGGGCTTACTTTCTGTGAGTTCACACACGTGCATGCCTGTGTATGTGTGTGCTTGAGTTTCAATAAGCCAGGATGCTTTTAAAGGATCAAAATAATTTCCTCTGTGACATGATTACCAAAAATTAGACAGAAATTTCAAACCTTTACCCTTAAGCATTGGAAGCCATGTGTTTAAGGCAGTGTCTAGAGATGAACATAGAAATGACCAAGACTATGACAATAGATGAAAATATTAAATGAAAGCACTGTACTCAATACTCATAGCTGTCTGGACAGAGAACTAGCCCAGAGGAGCATCTCCAGCAGGCTGTTTAGTCCCGTGAAACTCTAAGGCAATTCAGCTTGGATATAAAAATGGGAAAAGTAATTCATATCTTGTCCACTGAGCAAAAAGACTAAAATTATAAAACTTGCCTATGAGAAGTTGGGGTAATAAAGGAAGATAAAGTATTATGGTCAAAATATATAGAAAGACATAAGCATGACTTTAGAGTATCTGGGGAAATAGTTGATTAGATGCTTGAAAGATAAACCTGATCTTTCAAAACATATTTGGTTTTGGCCAAAACTAGATCTACGGCGAATTCTGTAAAAGGTGTTTTCTGGAATTCTAATTTATTAAGACTTCTTATGAAAAAGCATTCTGTGTTCATTTGTTTTGGACATTATTATTCTTTTAACTTTTGTAAATTGATGTTTTAACATCTACGAAATGATCACTGGCTGATCTCAAGTAAGCCCTAGCTCACCTAAAATACCTGGAGACTTTAGGTAGCCCCAAACTATATTCTCTAATAGTCAAGTGAACATGCACTTCACAAGGACTTACTTTTAAAGTTAGCTAGCTAGTACTAAACTTGCTTAGCCTGTCCTGTCCATTTCTTTAGATGGAAAAAAGGAAAAAAACAACAACAACAGTAAAGGCACTTGCCCAGTTTGCTCTCTCTTTCTGCCTTGTGATCTACCCTGGCACTTTCTGTGTGGACCTATGTGGCATGAAGTGTCCTCCCTAGGACCCTATTCTAATAAAGAGGGAATATGCTAATTAACCCTCACACCATCACAAAGATGGCAGACCCCATAGCCAATAAGGAGGGAATATGCTAATCGACTGCCCCACCCTCAAAGATGGTGGTGTCCACAGCTAATAAGGAGGGAATATGCTAATTGACTGCCCTGCCCTCAAAGATGACGGTGCACACAGCCACTAGATGGTGGCGCCCAGTCCCCTCAGCCCCACTAAGGCTCTTACTTCCAGAGTCTCCTAGTCCCCTCAGCCCCTCAGCCTCTCAGGGCCGGCCCCAAGTGTAGGCAAGCCTCTGATGACGGCTGCCCAACTGCCCAGGGCCGCCTGAGGCTCAGGTAACAAGGGCCAACTGAGGCTTGCGCTGCCAGCAGTGGCAGCAGCAGAGGTGTGATGGGGGCATCACCTTCCCTTGATTGCCATGTCTCCTCCCACCCCTGAGGGCTCCCGTACTATGAGAGGGGGCAGGTCAGGCTGAGGGACTCCTGTCCCCTCCAATGCATGAATTTTCATGTGCCAGTCCTTTAGTGAGTGTAATAAAACTGCAAACCTATTTGTGGCTTCTCTCTGTGATCTGTGTTTGGCCTCACTATATGTCATCCAATGTAATATGGCTCAATTGTGGATTAAGAAAAATTGAATATACTACTTTATTACAGCGGTCACAAAGATGTGAGTATGTAAATGTACATTTTAAGTTTCCAGTGTCAAACTTATTTGGCTTTGGGATCTATTTTTTAGCAGTATATCTATGAACCAGCATTTCTAGGGTCCCGTCTGGGAGATACTATTCTAGAGAGATACTGATTATCTGTCTAGGCGACTTGGCATGTCAGTATTTCCTGAAGTAAAAAATGCACTGGTGTCATTGTGAAATGAAACCAATCATTATAGCCTAAGGAACTCAACTCTCAAATGAAATTTAACCTGTAGACTTTCTTTTCATTAAAGATTTGGCACAAAAACACTGCATGGCAATATCTGAATGCACTTCCATAGTTTGTGGGGTCCATGTATTTAAAAATCCATTAATAACTTGGAATAAATCTTTTGTGTGCAAGACAAGTACTTAAAGATGCCTTCTCTTGCATATTCATTAGGCATCTTCATCTCAAACTGTTCAAATGAAACACGTTTTCACATTCCCATTTTATTTTCCTCAAGTGACATTTCCATGTACCCATTCTCTTACACCAAAAACCCAGGAACCTATCAGTGTCTTCATTGTCCCTTACACAGTACCACACAGCCCACTAATCACTTGGATTTAGCATGACTCCTGTCATATCGATGCTGTCCCTCTACAACATGGTCCAGACCTCATAATCTTGTATCTCAGTTATTGTCATGAAGTCTAACTAGTCTCCCTTTTTCTAACCTGTCCCACGGCTTCTGGTCTTTCCTTCACACCAACACCACTATGATTTTCCTAAAGTACAAATGTGACTGTATTATTCTTTTTTTATAAGCCACCTGCCAATTGATTTGCCATCATGTTATACAAAACGAAGTCCAAATTCCTCACTCTGCCACACCATTTTTCTACTGTCTCATCCATGCTCTCTTTCCTAATCTTCTTTGGATGTCCACCTCTAGCACAAGAAGCAACCCAGTCATATTAACCTGGCTTCTGTGCTCCCAACATGACCAGCTATGAGATGCCTTGGTGCTTTCTCACCTTTTACCTGGAATCACCTTACTCCCACATTGGCTACGCTATTCATCCTTTCATCTACTCATCTTCAAGATCAAGCTCAAGAGTGTAAGAGTATCCTTCTCTATAATGAGTATCCTGGTCTCTTTCCTATTTTCCCCCACTAGGACTTTGGAGGGTTTTATACTTATTTGTCCACAATTGCTCCTTCCTACCAGATGGTAAATTCCTAGAGGTAAAAGATTGTGTGCTACCAATCTTACTAGTAAAATCTCCAAAGCCTCACAGAGCACTTGACACATTGAAAAACATTTTACAAATGCTTTTTTAGCAAAAGGGCATTCATTTCCTTTCATACATAAAATAATATAAACTATGTACTGTGTGTTCCTCAAATCATTCTGTAACAGATCAGTGAATTCTCCACTTTTTCCCCCCTCCATCTCAAAACACCATCATTATGAATATTTTTGAATACCAAAAAGAATGATTCCCAATTTTGATTTTTCCTGAGTAAATATAGGTGCATGGCAAGTGCCCAGAATAGCACTCTGAGAGACTCAAAGTCTTTCCAATCCCCCTCTTTCAGATCCTTAGGTGGCAAGGGCAGAGTGAAACCTTGCATGTGCTGTTTTTAAAAGAGCAGAGGATAGTGGAGCCACTTGAGGCTTACAGGAGGGCACCGCCATCTCAACTCTGGACCAAGCAATAGGGCTCCATGCTGAGACTCAGACACAGAGTTCTAGCTACTTGCATCCAAGAGTAGGAACAAAAAAGAAATACTGTATAAACATTTCCTTTCCTAAAGACAAACTTCTTGAATTAATCCGAAGTTAATTCTTGTGAGAGTTTTAGGAACTATTGTTGATTGTGATAAAAGGGTAATAAAAACAGAACAGTCAAGTTAACCAATTTTAGAAACCACTTCCATCTCCAGTTTTTCCCTTCCTATTTCCTTTCTGAATTGTTATAAGAAATAACAGTGGTTTCCAATAAAAAAGAAATATGTTTTCAAAAGGAACCCTTCCCCAATTGTTTTGATATCCTCTATACTTTTATGAAAACACTTTAGCCCTGTGGATACAAAAGGCTTATCGCCTGTTCTAATGACGTGTTGGGGGATATTGTCTGAGAACGAGTAAGGCTAGGCAGGAGGCAGTAAGGGAGAGGCTTTGAACTTGAAAGAAACAGAATAGAGCTTTAGTACTTACAGCTGTCCTCCTCTTCAGTTATACATTTCACAACATAACAGGCGTAGATGAACCCTGCCAGCTGAAACAAAACAGAGGTGCTTTAGACAGGAGGTAAAGGCAGCAGGACTGGAGCACGCTGGGGGGAGTGGCTTTTAAAGGCAGGCAGTTTACCAAAACTGGTTTGGCTCAGTGGATAGAGCATCGGCCTGCGGACTGAAGGGTCCCAGGTTCGATTCCGGGCAAGGGCATATACCTTGGTTTCGGCACATCCCAGTGGGGGGTGTGCAAGAGGCAGTTGGTTGATGTTTCTAACTCTCTATCCCTCTCTCTTCCTCTCTATAAAAAAATCAATAAAATATATTAAAAAAAAATAAAGGCAGGCAGTTTATGACTAGGCCTAGTGTCCCAAGATGGTCCATCCGACAGGATCCTAACTCCAGCGTGGATTCCTGATGCCAGTGACATCTATCTGCCTGATAAAGAAATATTTTCCTCTGACCTGCAATTATGGGTAAGACTTGCTAATTGCCAGGCAATCTAAAACAAGTTATTGTAGATGCAGGAAAAGGAAAAAAAAATTATGGCCACTCATTAATGCAACTACATTTGCATGTGTGCCGGTCAACTTCTGATTGACTTGCATGAGTCACTGACTAGCATAAAAATGTTTTCAGGGAAAAATAGTAAGGAGAGTCCATGATTTGCATGAAGACTCTATCAGTAAAAAGACCTCTGATTTAGACCTCGACCAGGAACTGGGCAGACCAAGTATAATTAGGATGAGATGGACACCCATGGGTAAGGAGTATCCTAATGCACTAACACGAGGACTCACACATCACGTTGTCCTTTCTGAAGCATAACACACAAAGGTCCCCATGGGCAGGCAAGTCTTCACTGACTGAAATGGGTCCCTGCCCAGGAACATGGCGAAGTCCTGTGATATCTCACCCTTAGATTGTATTCCCTCATCTCCGTCTATTTTGTCAACTTATGAGTACTGCTGGAAGGAAGCAAACTAACTGCTAAGTGGAAAAAATGATTACTCAAAATGATCCAGTTTAATAATCTTTAAAAGTATGTCCTCAGAACGGTGATGAAGATTATTCACGGTGGCATTTCAGAAAAGCGTTGAGCCCTGACCCGCCAGGACAGCATTTGGTGCGGGGAAGGGAAGGGACCGTAGGTAAGGCTGCAGCCTCCGATCCAAAGCCGAGGAACAGGCCGCCCTGCGTGGTAAGTCTACTGAAGATCTCGTATTAGCTGGCAGCGATCCTTCTGGAAGATGTGAGAGGAGGATTTTAAGACGGACGGGACACTGATGGTTATGTAATGAGCACAGAACTATTTGGAGACAAAGGGGATCCAGTTAAAGGAAACTTTAGAAAATCTCTAATTTGGGTTTGAAGGAGAAAGTACGATGCGATAGTATCGAACTCTCCTCCAAAGAGAACGGGCAGAAGCAGTGACCTGCTCCGGGAGGAATGGATGGGAGAGAAGACTGGGAAAGATATTCTTCAAGGGCTTTTGTTTGCAGATCCTGGATGAGAGGGAATTTGTCCTGCCCTCCCCACCATTGCGATCCCCAAATGCAGTATTTAAACCAGTGCAGTGCACGGAATAAACAACTAAATAAGGATACCACTGATGTTGTATTAGCAGAGTTAGTTTTCTTAAAAAAAAAAAAATCAATCAGCATTTTTTCATTGAATTATATGTTGCTATTGGCAATAAAAGAGTGATAGTAAGAACTATTTTCTTATGTAAAAGGATCATCAGGATCATTGCTTTTATGGGACTGATTTTTCAAGTACAGGGCATTATTAAAAACCAGTGTCTTCCATTTGATTTTATCAAAAATTTTGATTTGACCAAACAAAGTCATATGGTGATTTAAGCATTTTCATGGGTACTGGAAAAATAGATTATACTAACACTTCTTCTTCTTCTTCTTCTTTTTTTTTACAGAGAGGAAGGGAGAAAGATAGAGAGCCAGAAACATCGATGAGAGAGAAACATCAATCAGCTGCCTCCTGCACACCTCGTACTGGGGATGTGCCCATAACCAAAGTATGTGCCCTTGAATAAAATTGAACCTGGGACCCCCTCAGTCAGCAGGCTGATGCTATATCCACTGAGCCAAACCGGTTTTGGCATACTAACACTTCCTAATCTTTTATCCACCAGGACTCATAAAAATGCTCTCATCATTGTGTGGCCTGGCCCCATGATACTCTGTCATTGGTACTTGGATATGATTGTAGCTAGGTAAAGAGGCAACGGTTTGATTAAATGCCCCGGTCATGTCTATAGCTCCTCCCCTTCCTCCACATGAAGTCCTTACCATCCATGGCTAATTGCTACAGATTTATTAATAATTTATCTCTTCTTTTCAATTTTTAATACTTGTTACTTGAATTATCTATAAAACTTTTTCTTCTTGCAAAAATCACAAATTTTCTTTTGATTCTTACTATTTCATCACTTTTGGATATAAAAATGTAGGTAAGCAACATTGATAGATTCAGGGCCAAAAAAGTTTAAATTTCCATTAAGCTTCTAGATTATTAACTGCACTACTCTCCCAGAATTCAGGGAAGGCACTGTATTCTGCTTACCAGTGATCTTTTAATTGTATTTGGTTGCATTCTTTAACTATCAAGGGAGCTGCTTTGATAGAAAAGTAAATCCTGCTGCATTTCATTACAAAAGCTTGCTGATTAAGAGAACTTTAGCTTTTAAATTGGTCTCCTCTAAATACAAATGAAAATTTGTTTTTTTCCAAACTAATCAAGATTCATAAACCTCTGTTATCTTCTAATTTTCTTACACCATATAAATAACCAATTAATTTTTACTCCAGCATGGTGATTTATAAAACTCACCCACAGAAGAGGGGTTTCAAATCATTTCTGACAACTCTGTCTCCTAAAATGTGCAACTCTGCTAGTTTGCTACCTGGGCTGCAAAGATGAACTAAGCCAGGATTTCCAACCTCAGCAACAATGATATTTTGGGTTAAGCAATATTTTGTGAGGTCTCTTGTGCGTTATAGAATGTTTAGTAATATCCTCCCATCAAGACAGATGACATTTGGGACAATAAAAAATGTCAGCAGAAATGCCATATATCCCTTAAAGGGCAAAATTTCCCCCGGTTAGAGCCACTGTTTTGGATACAATCTCATCCTAAAGGAATTTGCAATCGTGTAGCAAAGATACTCAGGTTAATTGTAATTTGAAGTAAATTGACATAAGTGTCAGAAGGAAGGAAGGAAGGAAGGAAGGAAATTGAATGTCTACTAAGTGACAAACAAACAAAAAAATTAAATGTCTACTAAGTGATTACTAAAAAAGTATGATTTTTTCATGGAATACAAATGCTTCCTAATGTTATACTTAGCTCCCCTTCTAGCCTCATTTTTCACCACTCCTAATCTCAAAACTGATGCCTGTAGTAAGCTGTTTGGTGCTTTGCTGACATACATCAGGTGGTTTTCCTCCTCTGTTCTTTAACTCATTAACCCATTCTACCAACAAAGCATGTGAATGCCCTACGCCTCCTCCCTCTCCTGCCTGTCCAGCCTTGCACCTTTGAACAATTCTAACTCATCCTTAAGACTGAATTCAATTGCTGTCTCCCCCAAGAGCTGGCAATTAATTATCAGGGTAAGGTGTAGATTGGCACTTTGGAGATAAACCTCAAGAGATGGAAGGACTTTGAGAGAGGAAAGGAGAAGACATCTTCCAAGCAGATCTCAGAAAAACTCTGGGAAGATGGTAATTATTATTCAGGGAGGAACAAATGGCCTAGTGCCTAGAAGTTTGGGTGCTGTGAAGAGTAGTGATGGTGCCCAAAGCAAACAGTGGTTTATATTGCCATAGTAAATCTGAGAACCTGGAGTTAAAATACAATTATTTATTTGTTCCTTTTTAAAAGGTGGCTAGAATTATAATGAAAGACACTGTGCTAGGCAAATATACAATTATTCACTTTGAAAAACTCAAAGTATTCCAGTTGTTTTAACCTTTGGCATTCAAAGCTGACCTAAGCCTAAATCTATTTCTTTTTTATTAATCTGTTCACCTTGACACATCTGATATAATTTGTACACTTCTAATTCACCTGATAGGTAATTACATATTTTCTTGATATCATTACTGGCTGAAAGGATATATTTTCTCTCTATAACTAAATCAGGTTGAAATACTTAAAAAAAAATCTACAAAACAAATTATGATTGTATGTCCCAGAAATTCACTTAGAAGCTAATAGATAAGAAGTCATTAAAGTCTATTGGTAAGTATTTTAAAAGATTCAATTAAAGTAATTGGAAGTATATCAACCTTAGAGTCTAAAATTCTATCATTTGGACTTCTGTTTCCAGGAAGTTGGAATCAATGTACTTTTCTGTAACTCCCTCACTAAATACAACTATCGATAAAACCCTTGGGCGTTATATACACTGAGTGGTCAGATTATTATGATCTCTGAAAGGTGCATGAATTCGTGCATTGGTGGGGTCTGGTTGGCCTGGGCAGGGGGAGGGGACATGGGCGGTTGGCCGGCCTGCCTGCTGGTTGAACTCCTGGTCAAGGGGACAATTTGCATATTAGCCTTTTATTATATAGGATATACACTTAGTGGCCAGATTATTATGTGTTCAGAGATCATAATAATCTGGCCACTCAGTGTATATAATAAATGTAGGAATAATCTGGAAGGCAGAAAGAAGGTAGGTTGGCTAGGAATCTTGAAACCCAAGGAGGGACTACCAAAAGTTTATATACTGTATGATTATATTTTTAGAATATTTTTGACATGAAAAAAATTATAGAAATGAAGGACAGATTTATGATCAGGGACTAAGAAAGGTGGTTGATTAGAGGGAAGTCAAGTTGGCTGTAAAAAGGCAACCTGAGGGATTCTTGTGATGATGGAACTGTCTGCACATGACTGCATCAATGTCAGTATCCTAATACTGATGCTATGCTATAGTTTTGCAAGATGTTTCCATGAGGGAAAACTGGGCAAAGAGTACATAGGATCTCATTGCACAATTGCTTCTGATTTATAGTT